ATATATATATTTAATTTTTTTCACAGACAAGAACCAGCAATGTAATAAAAAATAAAAAAAAAGATACAACCAACAATAAAGTTAGTGTGATCAGGCTTTACCAGGCATGTTCTAGCTTTATTGCATTCAGTCACTCAAATATAGATGGGTATTAGTAACCCTTTCATATATTCTATTTATCTCCAGTGTTTCTATCTAAGCACAGTCTTTATTTACTAATAAAGACAACTCCCTCAATTCATTCTGTATGAGCCAATGAAGGATTAAGCCTTACACCCATTCCATTAAACAGCATAAAATGCACTGCATAATATTTTCTTCATAACATTTTCTCAGAAAGCATGATCGGATAGATGAGAAAACACTCAGCACATGCACAAATGAGTGATGGAGCTCATGTGCATGTGCAGAGAGAGAGAGAGCTGCAGCACAATGATAGGTCACCAAGAGCTTTTCTACTCCATATGTTCTGACAAAAATATAAACAGGGATTCCACTGTCATGGAAAACCTGGATATAGAAATCCTGAAAGATCTGGAAACGTATTAATAAAATCTTTTAAAAAAAACATGGAAATTTATAGTTCGCCTACTGTTCAAATGTTTGAGGAAGTGAGATCTCTTATTGACTTTTTTAAGAACTTAACCAAGGCTACAATCATTTGATCAAAATGCAGCAAATACAGTAATATTTGAAATATATATAAATATATCTATTTTAATATATTGTAAAATGTAATTTATTCATGTGACGCAAAGCTGAATTTTCAGCATCATTACTCCAGTCTTCAGTGTCACACGATCTTCAGAAATAAGTCTTATCAGTGAATCAGTTCACAGATTGGTCTGCATAGAATGATTTGTATTGTTATTATTATTATTAATATTAATATGTATGTAGAAATTCACAAATGTGACAGGTGCGGGGTTTTTTTTCCATTGAGTTACTGATGCCATTGTAAATGTGCTATTTCTGGTTATCCATTATTAATTTATTCCACGAGTGAACCTATCCAATAATAGGAGGATTACTGAGATAAACTGAGTAGCATTCGTCTGGTCATGTGATCTCAACATGACGGTTCCCACGTGGAGACGTGCCCCGTCAAATAATATAGTCATGTTCAATAGCACTATTCATTTATTTATGAATAAAACTTGGTAATGAGGGAAAAACTGACTTAAGCCTATGTACTATATAAACATCTGACAGATTTTGGATTTGTTGGGGATCAAGGCTGTCAGTAAAGCACGTGGGTTAATACAAAGAGCGATCCAGCTGACATGTGTTGCAGCTCCAGGTGTTTCTTTGATTCATGTTCGACATATCAAATGTGCTGTTTGTTTTTGCAGGCATCATGATTCAGATTGTATTGCCAGTCTGAGGCACGTGAAATGCAGGAGTGCCACCTAATGGCCGCCGGAGGTAGAGCGCACTGCTGCTGTCACCTCTTTATTGTGTGGACGTTAGAGTGTGTATGTGTGGGGGGCGGGGGAGGCTATATGAATCACTCTCTCAGCCATTGAGGGGGTGGTGTGTGTACTGACAGAGAAAGCAGATGTTCGCTGCTTTTGGAAGACACACAAAGTACTCAGAGAGAGAGAGAGAGAGAGAGAGAGATTGTGTGTACATGCGTACTGTTGAGTAATTTCGCTCTTAATGAACCAATAAACCTTACATAAGAGATGGGTGAAGAGAGAGGGAGACGAATCAATGAAGATGTTATAAAAACAGTAGAACCTTTTTATGATGGATTTCCGTTAAGCTGCAGGTGAAAATGAGAAAGTATGCCACTGATACACAGTCTCTTTACATCTGCACAGACTCCTCAAAACCCTGAATGGAAGAAAAGAAAAACAGAAACAAAACAAAAGGGGAAAAGACAAGGATATCATAGGAAATTCAGTGCAATTTCCATGACCTCATTCAAGGTAAAACAGGACAGAGATTTAAAGTAATACTGACTTATTACCTCTCGCACCACTATATACACTTTTAGGCAATACACAGCTCAGTTATATAACAGAAACTTCTTGTCCTGGATGCGGTTTTTCATCTTTGCTCATGGGGATTCATACGGCATTCAAGTGAAGTCAGAATGATCATATTTATACAGGTGCATCTCAGTAAATTAGAATGTCATGGAAAAGTTAATGTGCACATAAACGCCCCTATAAAGTCATAATTACCAGTGGGAAACTCGTTACTTTCTTTAAAGGCATGAAATGGAAGTTGCAATAATCTTTTCTTCCTTATTGGGACGTATATCTGAGTGAAATGGCTTCTTGAATGAGAAAAAAAAAATGTTGGACAAGAATTGATTTTGTCCATTGGATCGTTAACGATTGCTAATTGGTTGCTGGAGGGCAGAGGTTATATTAATGTATCAGATAACTATGTATCAGATGTACTAGTAATAATGATCAGATAAATAATTTAAAATAAACACTACAATATTCTATAAACCACCCCAATGAGTTGGGAGTATGTTGAATAAACTTACTGTGCAATTTAGTTTGTACACATTTTGTGTGCTCTTAATGAAAATCAGTGACTGATAAAATACTACTCATTTATGTTGACAAAGAGGTGTGCAACGAAACTACATATCACACCATAAAATAAAAACCAATTACACACCAAATGTGCATGCTTTGCTCTTCATTATGTTGCATTAAGACTAAAAAAGCTTAATGTCTGTGTCAGGAATAAAGAACAGGGCGAATTATCCAGTGTAACGGATCACATTATAGTAGTTCTGTTATTGTTAGCTAAAACGAATACTATTAAGAATCATGGTAACACTTTACTATAAGGTTCAATTAGTTAATGTTAGTTAATGTATTAACTAACATTAACAAATAATCAACAATACATTTATTACAGTATTGATAATAATTAATCTTTGTTAAAGTTACATAGTTCGTCGTTCATTGTTAGTTCATGTTAATTCACAGTGCATTAACTAATGTTAACAAGCACACTTTTTGATTTTAACAGTGCATTAGTAAATGCTGAGATTAGCATCAACTAAGATTAAAAAATGCTGTAGAATTATTGTTCATTCTTAGTTCATGTTAAGTAGTTCTAACCAATGCAAACTAATGACCCTTATTGTAAATTGTTACCAGAATAATTTTTGGTAACTGAAATAAGGCTAAACTAAAATGAAAACCTTAAAGGGTTAGTTCACCCAGAAATTCTGTCATTAATTACTCACCCTCATGTCGTTCTAAACCCGTAAGACCTCCGTTTATCTTCGGAACACAAATTAAGATATTTTTGATGAATTCTGAGACCTCTCTGACCCTCCTATAGACAGCAATGTAATAACCATGATCAAGGTCCAGAAACGTAGCAAGGAGATCGGTAAAATAATCCATGTGACATCAGGGCTTCAACTGTAATTTTACGAAGCTACGAGAATACTTTTTATACGCAAAGAAAGCAAAAATAACAACTTTATTCAACAATTCGTCTCCTCCGTGTCACCCTGGTGCCATTTTGGAGGGTATCCACTGAATGTAAACATTGTATGCTATTCTGTGTCAGCTGCGTCACGCGGATATGTTGTTTTCTTTCAAATCAAAGCGTAAACAACGTAGAAAACGCAGTGTGACACAGCCCGTGTCGAGTGAGTTGCACACATCAGGCTGCACTACCCCGTTTGTGTTGCAGATGATCATCTCCCCTGTGCGCCTCAACACGCTAAAATAGCTTTTTCCCTAAAAGAGCAATTTCGGGTGCGTCTTTTTAAAGACGACGTTGCGTGGCAAACTTGACGTTACGGCTTTGTAAAGACGATGTGGGTCTTGCTATAGACAACGTATCACCCGGGCGTTTCTGGATGGGGTCGTTACCTGGCACTGGGTGATGGTGCCTCACGTGCCTGGGCATGTAGCACGCTGAGGTGGCGTTTGTGGATGAGTCATTTTCTCATTGCGGGAAGATGATCATCTCGGAGTCGCGGGCCAAGCTCCGTTTCCTCAAGGGGGGGAGTTCGTTGCCTCTGCCTCGATCTAGTTCTCCTCATGGCGGCAGCCAGGGGGGCCTACTTCAGGCAGGAGCACGGGCGGTCTGAGGCACTCCGTAGCCAGTTGAGCTGCCAATGGAACGTGCTGGGCCCTCTACAAGGAGCGTACCAGCCGTATCCTTTGGCGCTCCTCCCAACGACCAGATGTCGA